ACTTGCCACTTCTCCCGATGGCAAGTTACCCCGAGGAATCATATCTTCCTATACTTTGCATGTGCACAAATGGTTGGTTATATATTCCGACATGTGTCCTCCACATTTGTTTCTGATTATTTTGTTTTCTTGTATTTTATCGCTCTGCTAACCCTTGGGGTCCATTTTGTTTTGGTATACCTTTTTTAGGTACGTTAGCCTGTGACCACGGAAATTGACCGAGTCAACTGCTGGATTAGTACGGAGAGATTGAGACAGAAGGAGGTACAACACACACGGACTCGAACCCATGATTTCGAGAGTCAGGGTGACCTTCACCGAGTTCACGAAGTGAACAGGCTTTTTTACAACGTCGTTGCCAAGCGACGAAAACCCAATCCCGATGGCAAACACCGAGGGGGGGCTTGTTTTACGACTTCGTTGCCAAGCGACGAAAACCCAACCCCGATGGCAAACATCGGGGGGGAGGGAGGTGTGGTATATAAAAAAATAGGGCTAGCAGCAAAAAAAAAAATCTGCTGTTGTGCTTCGCTCATTGGTTCGAGCTTTGATCGGGAAATCTCAAAAGCGTTCAAGCGTGTGATGGGTAACCAGGCTAGCACGGGAGGCACTGGTCGCACACTAGGCCTTCGCGCACAAAAGTGTAGAGAGGCGTACAGCAGTACATGTCGCACCAATGGTGGTGCGTAGCAGCGTCTGTGTGTTGTTGGTGTCATGTGCCCCTCTCCGCGGAAAGAGGGAGAGAGAGGCCGCTGCTGCAGCTGCTCTGCTGTAACCAAATGGTGATCTCTCCTCTCACTTCCTCCGCCGATAGCTAACAGCAGCAGTGTATAACACACCCTTCTCCCGCCGTCTCGCCCTCGCTCTGGTCTGTGTCTCCCTCTCCCTGTTTGTCCATGTCTGGCGCTGTGTGTGTTGGGTGTGTGGTGTGCGAGGCTATCTGTCTTGGTTCAAAATCAAACGACGCCTCCTCTCGGTGTTGCAAGGGGCCAGCAACTTCCCTGCTTCAAGTTGGGTACCGACGCTGCACTATCTCGACGCACCGAGCACGGATTGAAGATGTAGCAGTTGGGGCAGCTCGGGCAAAACATTACTTGTTGTGAACGCGTCTTAGATTGCAATTTGGTGCCGAGATGGTGAAATGGGCTCGAGTCTGCTGGCTTATTTATGGCTGGTCAGACAGACAGACAGACCGTCGGACAGCCTTGGCTGAGAACATCAAAACATCACCATCCCTCTAAATAAACAGCTGTCCTATCGGCCACTTCTCTTCAAAAAAAAACTGTTCAAAAAAACTGTTACAAAAACAACAGCAAAAAGCGAGATCGATGTACCCAACACAGCTGAGTAGGCTGGGAGGTCATGAAAAAAGAACACAACTCACCTCAATAAATAGTCAATGGTAGTGCGGTAGGATCACTTGCGGCTGGGTGTGTCTCGGAGTATCAAGTAGTTAGAAAACTGTAAGCGCGATAGTACAGTTAGCGCCCGCACATGACACCGCCTATTTTCGGCCGAGGCTCGTTTCTCATAACAGCCCGGAGGTAGCCTACGGTCTCCACTGAAGCCCTTTTCCATTTTCCAACGAGCACGCATCAAAAGGATAGGTCGGTAAGGACCGAGGCTTGTTTCTTGTCTTCTCGGTGGGTACCCCAGTAGCGAAAAGGCTATTATTAAGGTTATGCATGTAGCGTACATGTAGGCTTCTTGACTGAGCCCGCACCTGTTCCTATGGCCAAGTTCTTGAATATATCTGTGCTTGAGCCTGAACTTCTTGGCTCCCGGGCGCTAAATTCTCTCATGTACAAGGCAACTTCAAGCCAATTTTTTGTCAATCCTTGCACCCCACACAAAAGCCATGTGCCCCACGCATACACAAGATGATATCCCACAAGAATCGCGGCAAGGGTGAAAAATAGCAACACCAGTATAGTGAAGGACTCACCGAAAACATGCAAGGGGATCGTTGATGTACACAACTCACCCCTAGTCTCAACCAACTGCATCATTTCACATCAGACAATCTCTACCCGATGCTAGCTCCACCGAAGTTGTCAATGAAACCGTACAACTGCACAATTCACAACATCTTGTTGAGTGGTTGTGAATTGTGGCTGACTCCAGGAAAACTAAGCTCGCTGAATGTAGCAAAAACCCAAACAACCACTCGAAGACAGAACCAACAGAATACTGCATTCACACGTGAAACATATGTCAGCGATATTTCGCTGTGCACTAGCAGCAATACGATACTGCAGATGCCAGGAGGCTGTGTAGCCTACCTCAGAGGTTCACAATCTGTGCGTCTCCAACCGCGAGAGACTTGGAATGGAAATATGAAGATGTTTTTATTAGTTGTTGACTCCCGAGTCAGATGTTGCTGGTACTGAAGAGGAGTGAGAGGAGTGGGCGAGCTTAGGGCTGCACCACTCTTCTCGAATACCGGACAAATAAGCCAATTACACGAAATATCCAGAATGCTGCCAGAATGATTTCTGGAAGCCCTCCTACGTTCTAGAAGAGTATCAACTACAACCTAGATCTAGAACGCTTCCAGTAGCTTACAGAAGGAACCAGGAGTTTCCAGAAAGGCTTTCAGAAGCTACAGAAGGAACCAGAAGTTTCCAGAAGGCTTCCAGAGGCTACACAAGTTCTACGTAGAAGATGTCCCGGTCAACCTTGACCTGGCATGCTTCCGGAATATTTCTAGAACAAGAGAATACATGCCAAGGAGAGATGGATCCTTTTCTACTGCTACGCAGACGAGTTGCTGCAATCGTATGCAAAGGTCAAACCGTGTCCGACTACTGGTGGTCTCGACGCACGATTTTCCTGACAACATGAACATCAAGTCGCGATTTTCGGCTACGGTTTACGATACAACCCATCGACCACGAAAGAAAGAACCTGAATGAATCTGAGTGAATCTGAATGACTCTCAATTTATCTGAATTAATCGCTTTCTCCACTCGCTAATAATTCGCTTAGCTTCGATGGCGCCGAACGAATATTTGAACATGAGTACAGCGTCCTGCACCCGAAGAAGGCGATGGAATGCACACTGCTTTATACTCTTCAACTAGCAAAGCAAGATTCAAGGTGTATTTTGCTGCGTGAAATACACAGAAATGATGGCCATACAGTGTTACCGGTTTCATCCCGGATGTCCAGATAGGAGGAGGTATGTGACAGACGCGCAGGGTTCGGCAGTAGTAGAGTCGAAACTGATCGAGAATAAAGATCGCTCACGGTTGCCTCCCCCGGGATATCAGTAGCAGCCTCCGTACCACGTGACACCCAAATGGCTACGCCAACCGCTCTCTCCCTCTCGGCGCCATTATTGGCGGGTTCCCCACGGCGGGAGTTACTCATAGGAAGAAGACAAAATCGCATGCCTTGAAAACGATGTACGTTCACAGCAGTCCTCTCTTTCTTCTACGGGACCCAACCAAGCTCAAGGTCAACAAAGTACTTCGAGGCCTCTAGGCGCCTGTCGTCAATGACGCCTACCGCACATACAATACTCCAGTGCACGAACAATGACTGCCCCTCGATCAGAAATTCATCTTTGTGCATTCGACTCGTGCACCATTTGACTACTGGTGAGAGACAAATTACATATGCATAGAAACGTCAATACTTCAAGTGATTTTGAAACCTCGGCCGGCAGAAGAAGGTGTGTGATAACGTTCATACCCTGCCCACGACGTCGTCGCAGGTCAGCAAGGGCCCGTAAGTGAGCGGTTCTCCGATATGGGGCCAGCATGACGGGAGAAGCCTAAGGTGAAATCATTCCTTCGGGAGGGGGGGGAAACATGCCGGTGTTTGTGTTGGAAACGCGCGAAAAAGTTAGTTCACGACCAAGGAGCACGTTCTAGCGTTTAGGTCATTGTATTTCCTCCTTTTTTCGCAGCAAGGTGGTACGGTACGTCGTCTCTTAGAGGTCTGCGGCGCTAGCACCGTGTTCCTCGTCGGCGACGAGCAGTCGTTTCGACGAGCGCCAGGCTTGGTAATGCCTGTAGCTGGTCATTTTTCGTTGCGCTTCTTCGATCCTCTCCCGTTCCTCCGAGGCCTGTCTCTCCTTCGCCTCCCTCTCCTCGAGTGCCGTTCGCTTGATCCTTGCCGCAAACCTTGGATAGCCGGCATGGTGCAGCAGGGTCGGGTGTACTCATGAAAACACATGCCGTAGTCGTTAGACCATTGACCTCGCATCCTGACCATTCCCTGACGGAGCTATATATATGCCGGGTTTCCACTGACCCAGGTTGTGCTTGAAACGGAGGAATAAACGAGAAGCTGACCATCATTCTGCGTTTGATGTGCCAAACCACATTACGCTGTGGGTTGATTGGGCCTAACGACAAACCAAGTGTTTCACATTCGGCCGGAACCAAACCACTGTACTTCAGGTACCGCTTCGATTTTTTCGCGCTTGCACGCATCAGGCGCGCCGCACACATCCAACTGCTCGCTCCGTATTTGATGCGTTAGAATTACGGTACATGTACAGTAGTCTGCTATAGCAATATTCTTGTGGAAAATTCCGATGGAGTGGTTCATAAGAAGCGTTTGCTCTATAGACAATACTTGAGGCGTTCCAACTATATCCACTGTCCACCGACGAACATCCAATACGTTGTCTTGTGTTACTGTTTCGGTACCCCTGGCGACGTCTCTTCTTTTCTTTGTTCTCTAGATATACAATAAATAGCAAAACGGAAACGTCACGAACGCGCACCTACGGAGCTGATGTATTGCCTTCGTCTGACTCGGTCCCAGGATCCTAGTCCTCCTCATGGCCGCCACCTCTTCGGCATACACTTCCAGCTTCCACCTGTCACGTCGTGGTTTTTCGCTTCGTCGGAGGGACTCGTCGTTATGCATTTTTCATAGTGGGCGAGGCGAGTGGGTTCGTCGGTGGGCTCGCTGGCTTTCGTGTTTGACTAATGTCTCAAGGGCCGTGTCACCGACCGGGCTGATAGTGCTCCAAGTGCAGGCGAGCGAGACGGCTGGCGGGCAGGGAACGGTTCGTTAGAGAGCGGTGGTTCCAGAAGGGACCACCACCAGCAAATACACCTAGGCGTACAGATTCGTGCGTGTGCGGCGTATCGAGTACTGAAGTTCTCGGCAGAACCTGACATCAGTTCACGGGTGAATCCCGATTTGCTGTAGAATGTTTGGGCGACAGTCAACCTTCGATGTCGCTCGGGTGGTCGCGCGTTTCGAGGTGGTGGTTCCCATTTGACATGCGTGAAGAGCCACGTCCCACGAGTACCACCTTGCCCATGTTGGCGTCCCGGCATGTCGTCTGCCGCCTGTGTGTCGTGGGACGTTTGGCGGACGGACGCCAGCCGGTACCACGCCCACAAAAGCAGACGTTCCTTTCGCACACTTCTAAGAGGCAAAAAAAAACACTCGGACGAACACCCATGTCCGCTCGCCCTCCTTCGCCTAACAGTATCCCAACCTCCAAGCCATAGTCTAATCCAGTATCACCTCAACTCACCTGCGGTTTCGTTCGATTTAATGGTCTACAAGCAAACATGAGGGTGGTATTTACTCCACATGGCCTACCTGCAGATGTCCGGGGTGCCATCCGTGGTATAGATCTCGCGAAAGATGTACCACACTACCGCTAGAACGGTTTGAAGAAAACCGACGAGGAAAAACGCGCACAATGGCACGAGCAACACGCACATCGGGAGCGGGAGCGAACGGAAAAAAACAAAAGGGTGCGTGAACAAGCACGCGGAAGTAGAAAGATTGCAGCAAAGAACGTGGTTGGTGTTAAATGGACGTCGAAGATGCCACAGGATTGAACTCGACACGTCTTTGGCACCCTTTCGTTTCCTTGAATCCCGTGAAGACTAGCTACACAGCAGGACTATGATGTCGAGGTGCACTCATCGATCCAACATCGGGTCGTTCCATGGTCGTCTGAACGGGCGAATAATTAGGACAGCAACCACAACGGCATCACAGCGACATCAATTCAATGCTCACGGTGAATCGCCCTGTAGTCGCTGATGGCCTGCAGGTCCTCCTTGAACTTGGACATCTCCGCCGGCAGAGGCACTCCTCTGGTCGGGGCTGGGGCGATTGATCATCCCCACGAGACACGGGTCTGTCGATTCGGAGCCATTAGTGGCTTCGAAGGTCTATCACCCCACGTAAAACTTTGGGTCACTTTGGCTTTGTTTTCAAAACCCCCCGAACTTTGCTGCACACCGGTAACGTTGTGGACAGTCCGGCAATATGGCGTTTCTAGGTGGACCCGTCGTACGCCGGGATTTTCCAAGGTAAAATGGGAATCCGTCTTCCTAGCACAGGGGTTGCGTAGTAGGTGCTGTTGAACATACGAAATGAAATTGTACGAGTTGCACTGCTGTAGCAGCAGTAGCAATAGATCCATGTATCATCCGCCGTGGGCGCACCGTGTGTCCCACTTACCAGGGAATGCTGACCAAAGACGTTTAGATGGGACAATACGCAGTAGCGATAGGGACAAGCCAAGGCCAACCCAACATTCAGTAGTACCAACGGCAGCGGTAAGAACGTTTCAACGACAACGACAGCGACGCCAACTTACCCGCCCGTCGAAAGGCGGCGTTGAAGCCTGCGGATGGAGGCGCCGCCGCCGCCGTGGGGGACAACGCGTCTTCCCTGAAGAGCCTGCCGTTCGAGATTGGACCCGGCGGGCCCGCCTGTCCTAGCACGAACGCCACCTACCGAGAAACCCAGTGGGCGTCGATCAGCATCCAGAACTCCCCGATGTTGGGGTTGATGGCCAGCCTGACGTGACGGTGAAACGAAGGCGCGAGATATTTTGTTTTTTTTCCAGTGGTATGTAGACACAGATGCCGTGTTTGGGGTACTTGGATACAAGATCCGATCTGCAGAGAATATGCGTGTGGGGGGTATACTATTGGGGGTCCAAGTGCGGGGCCCCTCGTGAGAGCCAGTGTATGTGTTCACTGAAACAGGACCTGTACTCACTTCGGTCCGTGCTGGAACAACACGTGTCTATTTATCAAGGTTATTTATCAACTGCATCGGTCCTCTGGGTTAACATAGCCCCCAGCCAGACATCATACCGTGGGTGGGCACGGCAACCTCCGTGGGTAGTCACGGGGGTACACAAACATGCCGGGTTTCGAAAAGCCCTGATGATTTCCGAAAAAAGAACAAGTCAACGAAGTACAAGCGTGCCGTAGTTTTCACGCGTTTGTTCAGACATGGTTAGGTTTTGTTTGTCTTGCTTCCAAAAGCAAAGGAGTTTCGGGCGTGGACATGTGCGGGGGGGGGGGGGGGGGGGGGGGGGGGGGGGGGGGGGGGGGGGGGNGGGGGGGGAGGGGGTCGTCACATATCAACGAAGTACAAGCGTGCCGTAGTTTTCACGCTATTGTTCAGACATGGTTAGGTTTTGTTTGTCTTGCTTCCAAAAGCAAAGGAGTTTCGGGCGTGGACATGTGCGGGGGGGGGGGGGGGGGGGGGGGGGGGGGGGGGGGGGG